CATAAATTGTCATTTGGAAAAGTTCAATATTGCTAGAACTTGGCTGTTCAGATCGAAGTCAAGTGAAACATTCGAAATCATTTTCGGCATTTCTGGATAATTAAAACTTAATTTCGATACACAGAGTATATCTTGCTGTTTCTGTTGATGAAAGTTCCCATTTGAAATCATGTTGATAAAGCGTTTTGAGTTTCTTCCTAGCTTAATAAAAATATATAATTAAAAGTAATACCTGTTCCAATTTTAAAATAATTCAAAATATATTAGACAGGAAAAAATAACTTTAATATGCCTAGCGTAAAATAGTATATTTACTTTCTCTTTTCATACTAATAATGGTTTCAACGCACGTAGAAAGAATATTGATTGAGGAAAAATAATTTAATGTTTAGTGATACACGCCTTACTAATTAACCAGTAGATGGGGGCAGAACCTTTTTGTCAATGCTATTTGCTTATAAGTTAATATAACTGACTCAATTTGAAGTCCAAGTTGGTTCTTCCATTAACATTTCCGAGCCGTTATCCATACAAGACCTTCACACCCTGGCTGACACCAGCTGGTATTCCCAAGCAAGAAGCTATCATAGAATTTCTGGTTTTGAAAGCAGAGGGTACTGCAAAACACTGGAAACTATTGCAGTGACTGCAGTTTAGTGCATTCCAATGATTAATAAATGGTTTGCGCAAATTGCGATCCCAGGATGCTGAGAGATTCTATGAAAACATCGATTCTATTGATGGCTGCCATAGAATTTCTAAATCTACCCAATGTAAATGACATATTCCTAAGTATGGAGTAAGCATTTAGAAAACGATGATTCTCCAACGGTAATGAAATGGAAGAAGCAATTCGCACATAGGAAAAGCATGCAATATGCTTTTCGAGATGTGTATACGTGACTTCATTCAATGTTGCAATAACATGATTGAGAAGGAAAGAGACGAGACTGGAAACGAGATATGGAATCCTGAGATAATGTATTCATTTTGCTCTACTCTGTGTGCCTCTATTATTATATCCGATTTAATTAAAAAAACGTTACTTGTTTACCGACCCTCGTTATACAATTTCAGAAACATGTCTATTGAGTATTAGATTTTGGTTTCTGAGACCATTGTGTTCATTTTCGTATGCTTTGCGTGATTCTATTCTTAATTCACCTGAAAGATAATCAGGGAACCGACCCTCATATTATGTATGCGTAAAGGTTTCCTGTATGTTTTGATAAAATATTTAGTTCATATAAATTCAGTCATCAAAATAGTTTCTTCCAGAATGAAGGCTGTTCTCCATTAATTCTCTAATGCATCTTTGCTGAGGAATACAATCCAGTTTTCCACATTTTTCATATATTTTACTTTGTCCTGAAAGAACTATTTTAAATAAACCATTCCTCTTTTTTTTTTCTTTTTTCATATATATTGATTTGCATTTACTAATTATTATATTCCGTGCTAATAGGAATATATACTTGAAAAAACAATGTGGATAAAATAAGTAACGGTTTATTGTAAATAACTAGTACAATAATAATAAAGTTAAGTTATGCACAGGGTCGTCGCAAGTCAATCTAGTAGCGAGTGCTACTATTCAGTCGGTAGTTCTCGCGTAAGTCTGAGTCGTACTCAACAGATCCCTGCGAGTCAATATTTACAACCACTCCACGAGAGTAGATGTGGAACGAGGCCTAGTTTAACGTGGGTCATCCGAGCCCGTAGGCATGGCCAAAAATTCCCCGTAGAACCCGCATAAACGGGTTCGGGTTTTACAGTAGAGGGTACTGCAAAACTCTATGAACTATTGCAGTGACTGCGGTTTAGTGCAGTCCAATGATTAATAAATGGTGTGCGCAAATTGCGATCCCAGGATGTTGAGAGATTCTATGAAAATATTGATTCTCTCTGCCTCCCCGGAGGAGACTCTGCACTTCGGCATAGCCTCGTCCGAGTTCCTCTCTGCTCGAAGGCAAAGTGTTCGACAGCACAGCTGTAACAGATCCCAGCTAGTATATTTAGCTACCCACCCCCACGAGGGTTGCATGTGGCACAAGGCCTGTTTAACGTGGATTCTCCGAGCCCGTAGGATCGGCCCAAAATATTCCCTTTCAAACCCGTATAAACTGGTTCAGGGGCAGTCTACCTCCCCTAACGAGACTCTGCCCTTCGGCGGAGCCTCGTCCGGGTGCCTCTCTGACCGAAGGCAGAGAGTTCGACTGCTTAGCTGGAATAAGATTACAGCTAGTTTCTGTAGTCCGTTGACTTACAGGTACTTATAGGCAGTTACTAGTGTAGTCACTCATGGGAGTGACAAGTTATTCCATTACATCACTAATAATATTTTCGCATTCCGCAAGCCAAACTGTTAATTGAAAGTCAAATAAAGCTAGTTGAATCCTGAAAAGACTGGGATCGAACCTTAAATTTATTGTTCTTAAGGTAAATCAAATCAAGGCATTTCATCAAGGGAGATAACTATACAGAGAAACGTAGTTTCACTTAATTTAATAAGCAAAAAAAATATTCTTTATTGTTTCTGGACTAGTTATTTTTCCCTTTCAGTTTGTTTTTAGTTTTTCCTCGCAATTATCACTGATTAAGAATTTATTTTTTAAATGAGAATACTTCAGATTTTAGATAATCTGAGGGGAACTTAATTTTATTATGCCTTTAAAAACATATGTGAAAAGTATTTATTTTACATATACAAATATATAAGAGAAAATAATATAATCTTTCATATACAAGAACAATGGAAAAATTAGGTGGAAAAGATGTTTGTGTCACGCATTTTGTCCTTTTGGGACTTCGTCGGCCTAAAGTGATGATTACGTTGATGCGATTCTTTTTGTGCGCATGTGTAGTTACATCAATGCAAACATCACTTTTGTCCAATGAACTCCTAAAGGACGAAACGCGTTACACGAAAATTCTTTCCATTTTCTCATTAAAGTATGGAGAAGGGCAAGGATAAGCAAAAACAGAAAAGCTACAATTTCCATCCCAAGATATGCAATTAAAGAAATAAAAAGTTACCAATTTTCTCACTTAAACACAATGTGTATTTTTCTGATCACACGACGCCATATTAACATTTTTAATGTACACAACGAAAATATTAGTCGTAATATTTTTTTCGATAACTAATATCTACTATTAATATTGATTAATGTATTTTTTTCTTCTTCCACAACTACTCGGATCATAATTTTACGGGTATTAGGAAAGATAGTAATATTATTGAATATTATCATTACTGTCTAACACTATTACATTTGAGTGGTATTTCTTTCATCTTATTTTTAGTTAGGTGGATTCCTTACGAAGAAAATACAATTTTGCAGTCATTAGCAATAAGTAATAGTATTTTGAATTTTAGTAGTAGTATTCGTAATAATCGTGGTGGCAGTATTATTAGTAGTAAACTATTTATCTGTTTCTTCGTGTTTCCTAAGGCCTTATTTGAGGATTCTGTACTCTAATAGTTGCTGACATCCAAGTTTTGTACCATGAGGAAGGTTTGGTCATCTATTGTGGTTTTATTTATCTTTAGCGACCACGGGTCTTCATGCTGACGAATTCCATCTACTCGCTTGAAAAACTTCAGAGTTGTCCTTCGCTTTCTGGTTTCGACGCACAATTTAAGAAAAGAAAATGCCCTTTTATTTAACCCATACATTGGGTTTCGGGTAGAGAAGTGGGATTTAACCCTTCCAAGAACATTTAAGTGGATGTAAATGTAACGAACTCTAGTGGAGTTCGGATTGTCAAATTCTCGTTCCGAGCCGATAAATATTACACTAGCTGCGCACATGATGATAATAATAATAATAATAAATGTATTATAATTATGATTGAAATTAGAAGAGTAAAGATTTCAAAAAGCGCATATATTTAGTGATTCACTAAAGTCTCAATCTCTCAGACAGCGAGCACTATGTGCAGGATATTTGCTTTGCATAAACTGGTTGTTTTTGGAACATTATGCTGAATGGTAGCGCAGATTCACTGCAATCACCCCAATGAATCCAGTTACAATTGACACAAACTTGGCATGTCTATTTCGCAATCTTTTAATAACTACCCTCAATTCTGAGGTGTTCACATTGTTTTAATTCTTTTTTTTGAACTCCAAGAAATCATTTCATTCCGAGCAAAACATTTACTTGCACTGAGTGTGAAAGAATATAAAATAATTCAGGAGGGATAAAAATAAGAGAAAAATTTAAGAGGACAGAAGATAACGATTGACATTGCACTTTTTAACATTTAAGTTGGTTGTAAATACAGTAGCCGGATGAGAATTGCTCAAGCGAGAAAAGAAACGATTAGAATAAAATTTACGGTTAATTAGACTGTAAAATTGAGATCTTCCCGCCAGTATAGTAATACGCATAAATTACTTTACCTTCGATCAAGGGATATCCATTGAGCTCTTTGATAATATCCAAAGAATCAGCAATAGTATCGGCCCTGATCTGGCAGTCCGACTTTAATTTCCCACCCTGCTAAGGTTGCCACTACCTTTTTCTATAAATACTTTCATGGTAATTACTCAGATTTCTCATTAATCATACATAGACTTTATGGATTTAAGCGAAGTGCTAGGCCCACCGTCTTGATGGCCTCAACTTACAGTTGAGCTGGCTAGACATAGCTGTATGTTCTCTGCTAACAGCTTTTGTAATCGCACTTCTCGTTTGTGGAACTCTCTTCCAAATCCATGGTTTCCAGCTAACTTTAATCTACAAAAACTGAAATGCTCTGTCAATCCTCGCTCATTGTTTTTAATTCTTCCATACCCAGTAAACCCTTGTCTTAGAGACTTTACAGACTTGCATGGGGTGAAATCGATTAAAAGGAATTATTAATGTTATGTCATGTATACTGTGTTCAGCGATCTCTATCAGAATTTTGAATTTCCGCAGAAGTGTCACATGCCCATTTTCAAATAGATTATTTCACATACGTTTTTACGACTTATCAGTTGATTGGAAGCCATGCATCCATCAAACACACACGCAGATGAAATAGAAAACACTCCTTGTCTTTCTGTCTCTCTATTTTCACTGTGTAAGTATTTCATTTCGCAGATTTTTATCGTTTGTGTCAGTTTCCATATTCTTAGCATATAACGTACATTTATCCAATTATTATTTGTATTTTGAGACCCGTTACCAATGTCAGATGTTTCAATCGGGTGATGGTCATATCTCAGCTCATACCCTCAGATTAGAAAGACATTTTCTGAGCACATAAGCCGTCGCAAGCAGTGCTGGCCCCTGCGAAATGTCAACGAAAATTAACCCGGAAACTGGACTGGAAAGTTCTTGGAGATAGTCCCGAGTGCAAAAAACATAGAAATATTTTTGCCTTCACGATGTATTTATTCCAAGTTACCGCAAAATCTATCAACGTCCATTTGTGGCAAGTCTTTTTCACGAGCACTGTTTAAACGCTTTTCAGTAAAGATGGTCGAGTCGAATTCCATATGTACTCCACTTGCTTATTCTCGGTTACTGATCGTGGTAAATGACTAGTATCTTTCCTCAGGATACACGAAGTCATATTTCCTGCATAACTCTGTGTATTCTAAGTACTAATTTCCCACGACTCTCTCTCCCTCTCTCTCCCTTTTGAGATCAGACACTATCAGTATGTTTCAAACACTCATTATCTGCCCTGAAAGTGAGCAATTATTATAATAAAACATTATTGCCGACATTTATTAATTTTGAAAAGTACTTCTCTTATATTAGTTTTAATTGCTTTTCGCTCTAACTATTTAGATGGTCAGCCTTTGACGGAGCGTATTAAGCACGGTTCAAAAACAATGAATACATTCCCAGCGAGATTCGAAACTGCTTCAAAAAACAATAAATCGACGATCTAAGAATTTGTGATGAAAAGCGACTTCAATTAAGATGAAAGAAATATTACTCTAAAATTAATGAGTTGATCCTGCTTCATTGAATGAATCAAAATGAAATCAAGATAATATTGCAATGGAAGTTTTCATTCGATAACTTTGACTAGCCTTCACGAGTGTTTCTTTTTTATATTTCCATTTGATAATTGACGAATGAAAGAGCAATGCCAAGTACAAATTCTATTTTTTTTTACTCTGAGTTTTAAAATAAAATTTGAAAGGTGAAAACAAAATACGGTTTAATTGAAAACGTCTAAAGCCTCAAAAGTGCTCTCGTTCTCACAATTTCAAGTGTCGTTTGAAACAAATTTGTCAAAGGTTTAACCGAAATTTCAAACAAGCCATTACAGAAATTACAGCCTAATGTAATTTATTTCTGGTGAAATTGTGTTAATATAAAAATCCAACATTCAAAAGGAAATGGAAATCTTAGATGAGGTTGAATTTTTAAAAATAAATAAATCCATTGTTTAAATATTCAGTTTGAGTTATTCTGCATTACAGTAAATTTCACCAAACATTCTTTCAAATTAAAGGGTTACTAATAAAAGAAAATGTTGATGATTGAGGTGTGATATATATGAAAGGGAACTTTACTGAAGATTAGAAGGATAAGGAAGATAGATAACGCCTCTTTCTGCGAAGAGGTTACCTCTTGATTCTTTCCGCGAAGAGGTAGTGTTCAGGCAAGCATTTACGCGAGTGTCTGTTCCACACAGTAGCAGAACTTGGAGAAATGCAGCTTGTGTGGAACTCTTGCATTTCCAACTGTGAAACATTCTGCTGATTGAATAATAGGTCTTCTCAGGTAAGAGCGTGTAGACGATTTGGAAATCTATTGAGGCTATAAAGTGTTTTTGTGCATATTCATGTTTGGGGGGCATACTTATTAGAGGTGGTGACATATCTTGTAGTTTTATTCAAGTTTGGAAATACAGTTTCATTCAAGATATTGTAGGATATTATATGGATTAATGTCATGAAAGTGTCCTTTTTTTTCTTTTGTTGATTTTGTTTATAAGCATATCAACCTCTAATGGGTATTTAATGCCGATATCTGAATACTTTTAACAATTTTACGATTTCCGTAAATATATTTTGAACACAACTGTATGCTTTCAACTATAGTAAATATATTTTATATAAAAATGTATTGCTGGTATTTTTAATATAAAAATATTTTTTTATAGTGTCTTGTTTATGGGAGCTTTCACTATTTACCCATAGCTGGGACCCTAACAGATGCTACGACACCGGGTCAGGATGGACCTGGTAAAAACAGCAATTAACAGGCCTTGCTGTCGGATGTAGATAAGCCAGGACTAAGTGACAGTGTGGGACGTATTTCTGTAGCTCACGTCTTGGTCCGTCCTTCTGGCTGACGACTCTACTTTCTTTTACAGTCCATTCTTCTCGCTCTCATTTACTTATATTTATTGTAGTAATAAGACAATACAAGTCTTAAGATTTCAAACGTAAAACGGTAAAAAAAAACACTTCGTTGTTGGGATAGGAATTTCTTTCGTATAAGGTAAATTCTATTTTCTCCGATCATGTTTTTCTTCAAAAAGCATTCGTCATCCCATTAGCATTTTCAATTTGAAGCCATCGAAAACTGTGTAAATAATGGAACTAAAACTGGAGTCGTTTTCTCATGATGGAATACAAAATTTAACTGAAAGATGGCGTTATGTCGAAATAATGATACCATAGATTTTATATGAAGATATTTTAAACGAAAATGCTAACATTTGCATCATGTGAATAAGGATAATAATGGCACTGTAAAAATGTAATTCCGAATTAAATATAATATTCAGATTCTGAAGGGTTAGAATTTGATATTACATAATTTGATTTCTCTGTAAAGACGACAAAAAATGTTCGTTCTTTTTACAAATAAATCCGTGCAAGCGAAAGTAAAAACGTACGAATGTTAACGCCGCGATTTTGATAATACTGGCAAAGGAAGAAAATCGGCGCTGAATTTAATTTGGCAGGGAAAGTAAACCTGTCATGATAAATTCTATCAAAGTTGAAGCCTTTCTTCCCTCTCGCTCTCTCTCATTTGATCCCTCATGAGGTTAGTCTAATGGACTTGTCCGATTCAGGTAGATGATGCAAATCATTGGAAAAAAAAGACCGTTGAGCCAAAAAATACCATGAGTATAGGTGTAACGTAAAGCTGTTGAACGCGTAATTTTCCGAAGAATGGGTGCCCAAACGTGGCTGAAATTATGACAGCATCTTTCGGCGTCATATATCTGGAAGGAATCTATGGGCCATGTTGAAATTGTCCCCTCAAATTGTAGCACGAGGTTCACATTTATACGCACCACTTCCGCTCTCAAATCTCTTAAAATTCTCTAGCGTAAACACCAAGATAAACCAGTCATTTCCGATATCACATCAGTATTTCCCAGATCATGTTCATTGACGTCAAGTGAACGATTTCAAAATGTGATTCATTGCGTTTTGTTGAAGTGCGGCCAGATTATGGTTCACTAATATTTCTTCGTATTTAAAACGCGAATGCTAAACCTCAACTAGCAATATGTATAAGCTTGCTGTATTGTTTTGTTAGTAACATCTGATATGAATACGAGTTTAAATCTTTCTGACGAAAACCAATTGTTCATTTACATCTGAACTCCGTCAAGGTGTGATTTTTTTTTTTTCATGGACTTCTATCATACGTTCAATCTGACGCCCAAGAGAATGAGATAGTGTTCACTCTCGTTGGTCAGGCGTTTATATAACTTTCTGCTATTCTTCGTCTCGTGTGTACTAAATTCAGCTGAGTTGATCTTCAGCCGATGTCGATTAATCCATCGTCATCTTTTGATGCCAGATGTGAGGTCGCTTTTATGCCCACCTCCGAGGTTTCTTTTAATGTTCTAATGTTATATTATTTTTATATCTCTTAGGGGTAATCCACTCTATATTATGTACACAAAAGGTAAGCTTCTCTTAGATCAAAATGCAAATGTCGAGTCAGGCCTCCTGTATTTTTACGCATGAATCACGTATTTTTTTTCTCTTAAAAAGCAGATATCCACACCAAAAGGAAAAACTTAACGACTGCCAAACAAAAAAAAAAAAAAAAAAAAAAAAAAAGAAAGTTATTGTGAACAAATTAATCAAAAAAATATGAACTTAACATCCTAAATTTTATCAACATTGAGCGTTATACAAAATTATATCCAATCCGCACATATTTGAATTCTGGTTTTTGACAGATATTTTCTCTTGCATGATTTTAAAATTTTACTCTGTCACAATTTTAAGATCATTACTAGAAAATAATTTAAGTAAATTTACAAAAAATAGAAAGGATGTATGACAAGGCTATGCTTTATCACCTAATTTATTCAAACTATACAGAGAGGCGATTCTGAGAGAGAAGTCTACCAGGATTCATTATTGGCGGCCATAATGTTAACAGCATAAGATATGCAGATTACACAGTTGATAGCAGACACAAAAGAAATTACAAGAATCCCTATAAAAGGAAAAAAAGGACATCTATTGCAAAAATAGAGAATACATGGTTCTGGGAAAACTAAAAAGCTCAACATGCAAATTAGAACTCGAAGATAGAAATATTATCAAGTAAATCTATGTTAATATCTGGGAAGCGTTTTAACAGAGGACGGAAAGTGCAGTGTCGAAATCCGAAGGCTCGTTGGGGTAATGAAATGTCTTCCAAAAAATAAACAAAATATTAACAAACAGGATAAAAATACTGAGCAGTTATATAATGGCAGTCTCTAATTAAAGCAATGAATACGCCACAAAGTCCGCATAGATAAAGAACAAATTAGTGATAGAAATATGAGTCTACAGAAAGATGCCGGGGATACCATGAATTGAACATGTAAGCAACAATGAAGTTTTAGAGAAAATGAAAAATTAAAAGGACACTTATACTTAACCACAGTAAAAATTTCTAGGTGGTTATAATGAAGAAAAAGGACTTGGGAAATCAGATACACACAGGTCGTATTGAAAGCAAGAGGGGCAAAGGAAAACAGCCCCTAGCATAACCTGCCAGCAACTCATAGTATAGAGTAGAATTTCTAAGCGAAACATGTCTTTACTATTCTAGTGTATTAAAGTCTCGTACTTGTATTATTGAAAGAAAACAGACAAGATTGGAATCCCTTGCTTTATATTTTGATGCATTTTCCGGGAAAAGTACGAAGATCTCGTTAATATAAAAACGAAAATTTAGTCAAGACACAACTTGCTACCGGGTGTGGAAGAATTAGAAAGAAAAATATTACTAACGAGCGAGAACACAGAGTAATAAGTAGATAGCGATTGACACTGCATTTAAATTTTTTTTTTTTTTTTTTTTAGATGAAATTTGGCTGGAAAGCATGGGCTCCCACAAGCGAGAAGTGCGAGGAAAGAAACAGAACAGAACTTACGGCTGCATCTAACCAGTTCAAATATAAATTAAGATCAAGACGCGAGTCTAGCTCGTACTGCGCTTAAATTCATAAAGTGTAAGTAACATAGCGAAGAAATAGTTATAGATAGACTGACAGAAAAATAAAGATATGAATAGTTAAAGATAGATACAGACAGGTTAATAGAGAGACACAAGTTATACATATAAAATGTTTTTAAATATATTTTCAAGGTGTCTATAGATTGTGCTCAATTTTAAAAATACCTAACAAATGAAGATGACGCTGCAGGGTATAGAAGAAAACGTATTTAAGGAAATAATGTTTTATTTAAATACATCCGAATAATTACAAATTGCCTTCATTGTTTCCGCGAACACACAATTGTCGACACTCATTTTCTGTTTTCTGCAAGACGCTTCCTGTTTCCATAAATCTATTTTACCGGGCACGGATACTAACATTAGTGTCTTTCTTTTTTTTATATTTTGTATTGTAATTTCTTTGGATCTGAGTGTCCGATTTGTATCTGTATGAACCAGTACACACCTTACAGTTTCTCTTGCTATGTCTTTGATTTCGTTACCAGGCAGGGATCAATAATAAACACTTAACATCTACATGGATAGATAAAAGAAAATGAATAAAAAAGAAAAAAAACTTTATATATATATGTGTGTGTTTGTGTGCAGATATGTAGAAAAATTGGAAAGAACACGTTAGGTAAATAATCCGGAGTTCTTTCGTATTTTTTTTATTTCTCAAAAACACTGCTCCATACAGAAGTAGAGGTTAAATTATAATTATTTAAAAAAAAAAAATGATTCCTTCGCTACATAAGAGTTCTCATGTTTCAAAAACGAGAGCCGAAAACCCCAGTATAATTATTAAAATTAAATTGTTAAAGTATCAAGTATTGATATTATATTGAGGTTTTAGGGTTTCGTTTTTGAAACAAATCTTATGTAGCGAATAAATCTTTTTTTTTTTTTAATAATGATATATATATATAAACTTTAATATTTCTTTAACAGAATGTGTATTAATGGATATAAACTCTAATAGTTCAAAGAAACTTTGGAAGTTGCATTTATGGCCACCATGTATATCATGTTTGTGTCTCTATTCATTATACACATGTTTTATTTAAATCCTTTGCACTAGCATAAGCAATTATATATAGCTTAAATTATCTGTAAAAATATGAATGAAGACAAAAGGAAAATTCTCGAGTGCTGATAACGAATCTTATCAAAATATGGCTCTGCACCTCGTACTTCTTTCAAATATTTCCTTTCTTTATCTCCAGCCAACATACGTGACTATAAAAAAAAATTAAAATTAGATGAAAACAGTTAAATTCAAATTCTTCTGTTATTTAAAATATATAATACATAACTTAACCACCAAACTCAAATAATAATCACATAATTAAAAAAAGTACTTTCCGTTTATGACACATTAAATTACATCACATAACATACTCTATCATTTCCTTTAACTTTGTTAGCCTGATGTATATTTATTAGCGTTCTTACGTTCAAGAATTCTGAAAAACTAACGGCATTTTTACTTAATAAAATCTTAACATTTGCCTTGACAATCAGACGAAGAAGAATATATATATATATATATATATTCAGAAACTTGAGTGTGCAAGCGAAAAAAAACACTATGCAAAATGAATAGCCTAAAAGGGCAGACGTTTGAAAAATGTTTTTAAAAAGTTGTACCTAAATAATGTAAATGTGTTTAAGGTTGTATGAAATTTAATTACAGTTCTCGAGGGAGAAAAAAAATCACGAAACTAAATTGTCATACGCTCTACCGTTTTTTTGTTCTTTTCGTAAAAAAAACCCCAAAAAACGGGCAACGCAAAAATATTTTTATTTCGCTTATGATGGTGGTGTTTTAGATTTGCTATTTAGCAAATATCAAATAAAAGCAGTGATTTGATATTGACTGCGACAGCACCTAGTCAAAAAAATCTGTGATTTGTGACATCGTGAACAGCTAATCATATCAATGAACAAAGCTGTTTAAGGTAATAAACATCTTCTCGTTTTGTGGGTTTTTTTTTTTTTACTAGAGAAGGGAAAATAAGTGTCATATCTAGAGTATGAGTTGAAGAAAAGACTGTTTCGCAAGTTTGTGGATTGAATAAATAATGAAATATCCCTTGAAAAATGGAAAAATTTTACTCTTTATTTCTGGAAAAACACAATAAACAATCGTTGTCTTCCATGTTTTCTTCGCATTTTCAATGAAATTCACACACACACTCACACACACACACACTGCGTCCGTTCATATATATATATATATATATATTCATATATATATTCTGCGTCCGTTCATTGCTTCTCTCTCTCTCTCTCTGCGTCCGTTCAAGCTCTCTCTCTCTCTCTCTGCAAAATCTCTCTGCGTCCGTTCAGCCTCTCTCTCAGACGTTTGTTCAATGTTTTTCTCTCTCTGCGTTGTTCATTGCTAAATAATGTAAATGCGTCCGTTCATTGCTTGTATCTCTCTCTTCCGTTACAGTTCTCTAGGGAGAAAAAATCTCTCTCTGAAACTAAATTGTCTCTCTCTACCGTTTTTTTCTTCTTTTCGTCCGTTCAAAACCCAAAAACTCTCTCAACGCAAAAATCTTTTTCTTTCGCTTATGATGGTGGTGTTTTAGATTTGCTATTTAGCTCTGCGTCCGTTCATTAAAAGCTCTCTCTTTGCGTCCGTTCATTGCGACAGCTCCTCTCTGTCCGTTCAAAAATCTGTCTCTTTGCGTCCGTTCGTTGCAGCTCTCTCTCTATCCGTTCAACAAAGCTCTCTTCTCTCTCTCTGCGTCCGTTCAACATCTTCTCTCTTTTTGCGTCCGGTCATTTTTCTCTAGAGAAGGGTCCGTTCATTGTCTCTCTCTCTCTCTCTCTCTGAGTTCATTGAAAAGACTGTTTCTCTCAAGTTTGTTCATTGAATAA